CAGATCAGACAGGTCGTCTCCTTTGAATGGCAGTTTAATAAACAGTTGCCTCTTCGGAGCTTCCTGAACAGGCTGGTGGTTCATTTTTTTCTACTACGTTTTTCTCGATGAACCTTTCAAGGTATGCGTTTTCCCTTAGAATGTTTTTAATCTGATCAAGCTCATTTACGAACGTGAATTCGGAGTATATCTTTCGTGCACGCGAGACAAGACACTGAATGAGGTTTCTCTTTTGTACATGCGGCACGAAACTGAGAAAGTTAGTGTACTGTCCGGTCCACATTTCTTTTCTGTACATCCTTCCTTCAAGTAGTCCATTAGTTGTCCTGTGCAGAGCTACGTCAATGAATGCTAGTTTGTTATTTTTCTCTGCCTCCAAGGTGAACCTTATGGACTTGTGAGTCTTGTTAAACGTTCGCGTGATGAGGGTTAGGTCGCTTTCTTTGTTAGTTATGCAAACTATATCATCAACATATCGTTTATAGAATTTCATCTTTTAAATTTCGGATTCTAGGACTGAGTTCTCCAGTTTGGCCATGAACATCTGCTAACATCGGTCCTAGTGGAGAGCCCATAGCGACATCATGCTTTTGACGATACAGTTTTCCATTGAATAGAAACTGGACATTAAAAGTGCATTTCAGGAGCAGTTCTTTCAGTTTTTCTACCGGAACTCTTATATCGATTTCGTTTTCTTCGATGTAGTTACAAATGAAATCAACCGTTTCCATGAGCGGAACGTTTGTGTATAATGAAACCACATATAGAGAAAACATTTGATCGTCGTTAATCTTTTGTTCTTTGATTATGTTCACGAATTCGAAAGTGTCACATAGACTGTGTTTGGCTGTTTGCCGTCGGATTGGCTCCAGAATTTTGGCGAGCCATTTCGTGGTGCCGTGATATAGGGAGTTGACCATTGACAGAATCGGTCGTAAACCCGTCTTATGAACCTTTGGTAACCCGTATAGACGTGGGATTGTGGTTCCACTGGGTTTAATCGCTTCGAAGATGGATGGGTTTAGACCTTGATCCTTTAGAAAACGGAGGCTTTCTGTGATTTGTCTCGCAATCAGGGCGGTTTTGTCAAGCTCATTGGGAAGGCGAATAAATTTAGTCTCATCGCTCAATAACTCTGATAACTTGTGAATGTAATCGGATTTATTCATGATTACGATTCCGGCTCCCTTATCCGGTACGATGTCATTTCGTCTTTACGACCGATTCTATCAATGGTCAACTCCCCATATCACGGCACCGCGAGACGAATGGACCAGAACAGTTGACTAAGTGGATGTGATTTATCTCGACTTCTAGAAAGCATTTGATCGGGTGAATCACAAAACTTTGTTACAGAAGCTCTACCAATTATGGCGTTCGTGATTTCGTGTTTGATTGGATTAGAGAAACGGATCATATCAGTTCGTGTTTCACATCTGATTTCACATCCAGATCTATCAAAGCCACACGCGGTGTTCCACAAGGGTCCGTACTCGGCCCTCATCTGTTCCTCGCATTCATTCTTTGGCGGGTTTGAATCATCACTATTCCCACGTTTGCTATCAGCGTCCATTCGACCCTACACAGAGTACACCATCCAAGCTCGGAGTTCATGGTCTCAACGTAATCGCAAGATGCTTGAGCGTCCACAAAGAATGGTCAAGGGATTGAATTAGGTGACATATGAGGAGAGATTACGATCATTGGGATTATACTCTGCTGGGTACCGCCGAATTCGGAGAGACTTGATTTAGACGTATCAAATACTGCAGAACCCAAACCAGATCGCTGCTCATGTTATCGAACAATGTAAACCTAAGGGGACACTGTTTCAAGTTACTGGTTCCGAAGTGTCGACTGGAATGCCGACGCCAGTCTTTTGCAGTCAGAGTATGTAGTTCTTGGAACGCCCTTCCATCTCACATTTGTGCACCCACTATTGAATCTTTCAAGCAGAGACTCGATGAAACCTTGGTACACCTCACATTCCTAAGCCACTAAAAGCAAACGCAAATTTGCTGAAGGCTACATTCTCTATTATCTCCTACCCGGAACTCTATGTGATTCTTTTTTCGGCGTGTAATGACTCATCTTTGTAAATATCCTATGGGGACTAGAGAAGCACGAACTTTCAAGTTATTCCCATAAGAAAACTTTGACCTTGATATGAGCGATCAGTGAAGTTCACATCAGTATAGTGCGCCGTAAAATGACGATGATGATTGTGCAATATTTTCCATCTATTTGCAAAGTACTTTTAAGTGTGCAGTGGCTGCCTGTGAGAATAACCTCCGGGAGCGAACGATCAACGAATACCCAAAAGATACATGCTAAAGGTTTAGAGATGTCCTCCGTGATGCCTCATATGTCCCGAACATAGCATGGATAAGAACATTGTAAACAAATAGTTTGGCAAAAACAGACTCACCGAACTCGCTCACGTATAAAATCACGCTCGTGTTTTGCAACCAAATCCGTTTTGTTCAGGATAAGTACATCGGCCAAAGCAATCTGCCTGTGTATTCAATTTATCCTGGATGAGCAACTGAGCAGGCAAGGAGCCAACAAACCGTTCACAATCATTCACTTGACGTTCACACCGTTCATCCAGTTGCATCATGCAGTATTTGGCGTCCAAAATGGTCACAATTCCATCCAGACAAAGTTTGCTACACAAGCTCTCGTCCAACCAAAAGATTGATGCAATGGGACCTAGAACAGAATCGAATGTGACGACAAAAGCATGTCGCTTACCAGGATCAGCTAATCCCGTAGTTTCAACTAGAATGTAGTCAAAGTCACCTCGTCGTCTCATCAGATTTTCGATTGCTTTAACCCCAGGATCTTTCAGTGAACAACATAAGCATCCATTGCGTAACTCTAGCCAATCTTCAAATAAATCTCCCGTTTCCTGTCGAATGGAAATACTAGATTCCATGGCAGAACCCTCGCCAAAATCATTGAGAATAACAGCGATCCGTTTCCCGTGAGATTGTGTGAGGATATAATTCAGCAGAGTGGTCTTTCCAGCCCCTGTAGATTTTATTAACAAGTGAGGGTAAATTTGGAGATTAGAATGAATGCAAATAAGAAGTAGGAAGTAGAGGAGGGCAATTACGGTGGTAGAGAAGACACAGGTTTTAGTTGGACAAATATTCAGAACGGCACTCACCCAAATAACCAGTTAAAATTGTTACTGGGACTTTCGAGTCAAATTCAGCCGTTTCCAGAGCAACCAGTTGCGGTATGTCATCGGCACTCATTGAACACAGTAAGTAGAAACTGTTGCCGGTATTGTGACAAATAGTAAAAACAAAAAGGAATTTGATTAACAGTTGAAGAAGTTGGGTACACTGGTCAAACCTTAACATAATATCTCACTTAGTGAAAGTCAGTGAGTTACCGGCATCGTTAAAACGATTACGATAACAGATCCCCGGGGGGAATAAAAATAAACAATTTTGTCATACCAAAGTTGTGAATATGCAACTGTTAGACTCTAAAGCTGATTTATCGCTATCAGTACGTGGAAGAAATTTTCTACCGATGGTTCCGACGCAACACAGAACCTGGTTGTTCTGTTTTCCCGTGTGGGTCGCTAAGGAATTAACTGACTAGACTGAACAAAGAACGAAACCGGACCAGTTGCTTCTTCAGATTTATTGGTAAAACCATTGGCAAATGAATGAGGGCCCTGCATTATTGTGTTTATTGCTCACGCAGTACAATCGAAACCAGTTCCGTTCGATTCACGAAATCGCTCGGAAGCATCGTCAATATCCCGAGACACTCAGGATCACAAAAGTTTCATGGAAATCAGAATTACTTGAATGCGTATGTATTGGACGTATTTGAGACTTTTCAGATTATAAGCGACGCATTTTGAGATGGATGGGGTTTGAGCAATTTGTTTCACGATATTCATGTGACAGCCAATCCTGAAAAGAATTCTGAATTGAGTGTTTTTGGATCTAGAATAGCAACGGTTGATAATAGACTGTCTCCTCTATCTCGTAGGAGTAGAAACATCATATAACACCTCACCACGGAAGGCGGTGTATGTCAGGGTTACTCTCTATCTCTCCTTTTGTATTCCACTTTGTAGTGTAACGAATGTTAGATTATCTGATCTAAGGTATGCTTGTATTTTGCTTTTGATCGACTAACTCCTGCGGGAGGATNGGATAAGTCGGCTGCTTGGATATCTCTAATGAGGGTGGCCCATGCATGACAATCGGTAGCAAGGTTGACGCAGTGTGCAACCCAGTTCTGGCTCCAGTTACGAATTCCATATACGGATTGGAGGCCCAGTTTTTCAAGTCCGCCTCGATCGTACTGCTCCAGGTCTTCAGTTGACTACTGAATAGGCAACTCCATTCAAGACACGGTGCGGGCGCTACAGTCTGTCGCGAGAGTTGAGTGTCGGGCATTTCGTAGTAGATGGTTAAACCAGGCACCAGTGTTTTAGCATTTTTGAAAGCTTGTCAATGTTCAAGCAGCGCCGTCGATCTTCCTCGTTGGAAATCCGATCACTTCAATTTACTTTCGAGGTGCGGCGTAAGCACCAGTGATATTTGTATCTTGCACTCTTAGCGGCCAGGTTCCACAAACATAAATAAGGATGGGGCGGATGGAAGCCTGATAAACCGAAGGCTTAGTGTTTAAGCTAATTTCGCATCGATTCTGCAACGGTTTGAGGAGTTGTAGGAAGGCTCTTTTAGCTCCATTTACACGGAGTTGGATTTCATCCTCAGCCTGGCCGTTTGGTCTTATCGCAGAGCCAAGATATTTGAGAACTTCGGCTGATTTCACATTGATAGAGAGGGGTTGTGTTATGAAATAAGTTTCGGTCGAAAATGTCTTCGTTGTCGACATGTTGACCTCTAGCTCAATGGCCTGGGTAAACTGACAACAGGCTGGAGGTTGTCCATGGTGTCTACAAGTACAGCGACATCATCCGCGACACTGCACTCCTGGGTGGTCGACGAGTGTTTGTCGCATTATTCAACCTACGGTGTAATTGAAATAGGGGACAACCTTGCATGACTCCAGAGCTTAGGGTAAACTCAGCTAATTAGTATGACTTCAAAAGCTTGATGAACTTCTCAGGAGTATGCTAACGACATCGTACTGCTAAGTGAATATCCAAGTAAGTTGCAAGCTTTTCTGAATAGTCTGAGTGCTAGCGTAGCCCTGACTGGTAGGAGTTTTGCACCTTCTAAGTGTAAAACGGTACTACAGGACTGGTCTGATCCAGCCCACAATTTCACGCTATCTAGAGAACCAAAAGAGGAGGTAGACTAATTTTGCTACTTGAGCAGCTCCATCTCACTTGGCGGACTAAGTCCGAGCTTAAGGCACTTCTTCGCCCGAGTTCACCACGAGAAGTGGTGTTCGTCAGGGTTACCCTCTCGCTCTTTCGGTTTAACTTTGTTATAGTTTTGATTATGGAAACAGCCCTATCCTCGTGCGAGGATAGTGGCATAGAGTTACTTTATGGTGACAGACTGTCTGGCCTGGAGTATGCAGACGGCAATGTGCTGCTAAGTGAAGAACCAGGTAAGTTGCAAGCTTTTTCTGGATAGCTTGAGTGCTAGCGTAACCATGTTCGGTATGCATTTTGTACCTTCAACGTGTAAAATCTTACTACAAGACTGGGTTGGTCCAGCACCCAACCTCACTCTAACTGGGGAAGTAATAGAGCAGGTGGATAAGTTTTATTTGGGCAGTAACATCTAACCCGGTGGACGCATCACCGATGAAGTATCAGCTCGCGCACAGAAGCTCGGTTGGGGTTTGCCAACTTGAGGATAAAGATAGACTGTTAGTATTTCAATATCGCTGTCTACGCAGCATTGCACGAATCTGGTGGGGCAGCCGGATGAACAATGCTGAGGTTAGGCGTAGAGTTTTAGGTAGTCGCGGTCGCACATTGGAGTCGACCTCTATAGACTACGTCGTTTGGGTCATGCGTTACGCTTATCATCAAATAGGTTACCACGGAGGGCGATGTTCGCCGAGACATGTAATGGGTGGTAAAAGGTCAAGGGTGGTCAAGACCTGGCACGAGTGTATGAAAATCCTAACCAGGAGACTGGGTCCCATCAGGCTCCCTGGCTGGGAACCTCGGGATGATCGTAACCGGTGGTGAGACACTAAGAGATATGGCTGAGTGCCGTAAACAGTGGCATTCGTGCATCT